GGTGGACAAGAGATACCACTTGAACTAGAGATTTGAGGAAAAGGATCCAAAAGGAGGGAAACAAAATAACATCTTCCCTTATTAAGTTCCCCATTAACCTTACAACCCAAAAGAAACGGCTGAACTGAAGACAACAAAAGGAATAAAAGAAAGCAACTTTTCAGCCTTTATCTGAAACCCTCTAATAATAAAACAAACTACAACCACGCTACCGGAATTTCCAACACAAAACATCAAACAACTGTAGTTCATCTTTATTATCTGAAAGAAACAAATCTACATGTACATACTATAAATCAAGTAAACATTCAAACTATAAAACAGAAAAAAACTACAAAAGAAAAATGAAAGCATCAACATTTGCATTGTCAATCCATCAACAGACACCCAAACAAGAGAAAAGATTATTAAAACAACACACAACCCAAAGAAAAAAAATTTAAACTGGTGACAACCAAATCACCAATTAAGCATAAACCCACAAACACCCCCCCCCCCCCAAAAAAACCCCAAAAAAAACCAATCAGAAAAACACCTTGTTTTCAGACCAAAAAAGAAATTATATAAAGAACACAGACTAATAAACACATATGCAGAAACCCACAATGAAAAATCAAGACAAATCATGCACATCAGCATTCAACACCAGAAACTGAAGGTTGTTTAGCAGTACCTGCTCAGGGGGGCCATCGAATCTTCCTCCAACTTATTGGGAATAACAAACACCATTGTCTTTGTGATGGTGGCGAAGCCTGGGGTCACCCTTGCTCATGTTGAATCACTTGAGGTGCGCTGAACCTCCAGAGATTTGCACCAAGCTTTCTAGCAGAGAGAGTAGCGTTGGTTGGAAGGTCAGATTTTGTACTAAGAGAAACCATCAGGTTGAGCAGAGCTAATTTTCATGTGGGTGAAGAGTACAATTCCCCCTCTTTTCCCCACCAAAAACCCGCGTTTCAACTTTATCCCCATGAATTCCTCCTTTTTCAACTCTCTCTCTCTAACTTTTTGTTCTCTCTCCCCATCTCTCTCTAAGTTCCATTTTCAAATTCTCAAGTCTTCTCTCTATCTCTCTCTCTAAATTCTCAACTCTTGTGTTCTGTCTAGCACCCATATCTCCTAGTTACCTTTTATCTCACACAAACTCACACACACACCTTCAAACTGCCAGAGCTTCTGTTTTATACCCATCTTCCTCTCTTTCTTTTACGCCGACTCAAACTTCATCTCCCTGATTTACTCCTTTCTCCTCAACAACAATGTCGAACTGTTTCATTTTATAGTGACCTAAAACGTCTCTATCTCTCTGTGATGCAGTCATGCTTCTCGTCAAATCAAAGTTTGCTGGAGGATCTAGGGGGATCGTAATTATGGCTACTATATATTTTGGGAAGATTAAAAGGGCATCAGCTTTTTTAATGATGTGGTTTATAGGATAGAGTGACATAACAGGTAGACCGACCATAAGCGAGTGTGAGACTAGGCTTAGGCTTGGTCACCAATGGAGCCGTGGGATGGAGTCGAGGGAAAGATCACTTTATTATGGTCTCTCTGTTGTTCTTGTGTGTCTTTATGGTTTGGACATAAATTCTCCGGTTGAATCCAAAATCTGCATCCAGTAAGCTGTGTGTGTCAGTATGATGACCAAAGTGAAAGTGCTTGGGTCCATGCCTACGCCTAGGCCTAACATGGTTGCGAGAGTGTGACCCAAATCATTTGTGCCTGCCCTCAAAAACACCACCCCAACCCTGTAAAAACCCCCTTCTTTGCAGTTGATGAGGGTTGATTGTTGTTCATCTGCACAAGTAGATCAGTCATCTGTAATAAATCCACCAACTATAAGTTGGATGTTTCTTGGTTTAATTTTTAATGATTTTTTTTGGGTTTAATTGATAATTGTGATTAATAAGAGATTAAATGTAGAAGTGAGTTTTAATATAGCCCTATCTTTGAAAATATTTCTCATTAGGGGAAAAAGTTTGCTTATATTCTCTTTTTATAAAATGAAAGTCAAACCATAGAATCGATCTAATGAGTCTACGTTGGGAGAGAGAGTCTAACAACACAAGACTCACTCTACATGTTCAAACTTAATTCATAAAAAATATTAAAGTTTTGGTTATTAATATCAATCGACATATATTGAAAGGCTATGTTATTTATTTTTTAGTTCAAATGTGAAACTTTCTACCATGAGTCTGCTCTTGTTCTTGTACTTTTATAGGTCCATGCACATAATGATATAAGTGTGTATGCCCATGTTGAAAGAGGTGGGGGAGAGGTATCCCCTAGACTTTATCTTCCCATTGAAAAGTCACAATCTTCCATCTGGCAAGATATATTGTCTTTGATGTGGCTAAAGCTATGAGGATAATAATGCAACTACCCCCCACCAATGGCATTTTACTCTCTCTCTTTGGTAATTTAAGATTGTCACCTACTTGCATTTACATGCTAGAGGATGACATAGCCCATTTTGTAATTTAAGATTGTCACCTACTTGCATTTACATGCTAGAGGATGACATAGCCCAATGCTGGTACATGGTATCCAACAATTATTTTCCTCGTCTTGTATCTGTCTTTTATCTTTCTCTAGTGACGGAATTAGAAATTTTGATTTTTTAAATGTTTTGAAAAAAAATCTAGACAAGGACAGAATGGCTAAGGATCGACACTTACCCCATCCCCTGGACCAACTAGTGGAAAGGCCCAACGGAAGGCCATGGGCTGAACCCAGTGGTATGTGGTCCATGATTGAGGCCAATAATGATGGCCCATAGACACATGTAGCATGAGAAGGACAACAAATCAAATAACACCTAAATGTGGGTCCTGAAAGGCCGAAAGGTTAAATTGTTTGGGTGTTTCCCTGTTGGGCCTCGGAAGGTAAGGCAGCATATTGGGCCCAGATATGCCCAAACTTTGTTAATTGTTTGCCTCTGTTCAGTTGTGTGCCAGAACAATCCAATAAATCCCTCTAATACAATTTATGGGTTGCCAATAGATATAAGAATTCAATGGGTAGTTGCCTCTCTATCATCCAGCCCATGATTTCAAAACGTACAAATAAGAGGAGGGGAGGGGGGGGGGGGGGGGGGGGTGAGAGAAAAAATGGGAACAGATTAAGAGGTCAGCAGCATGGAACCCATCTCCAAGTTTTGACTTTTTGGTTGTAGAACAGTAGAAGCAAGTATGTCCTCTAGGGAAAGACAACAGCACTGATCTCCACATTTTTTATTTAAGATGGGAAGGATTGCAAAATCAAGAAAATGAACAGGAGAAACACAATTCCCAAAAAATTTCCCTAAAGATTGAATAGACATGGAGCACATGGGACATCATGTGCATCCATCTTGACCACACCTCACACAAGCAAAGGATGAATGCACAAAACTTCCACCATTACGGGAACTGGACAGAAATAGATGTACATAGTCTAATCTGTGACACAAAAAGACTATTTTTGTGCTTCAAACCTAGCAAATTTCACAAGGCTGCCCAGTAGAAAGAAGAAACAATTAAAAAAACATTGTATATGTGTAACTGAAGAAAGTAAAACAGTGGGATATAGTAGAAACACAGTCAACACTAAGCAGGAAACTAGAAACTACGATAACCTTTCAAAAGCACAGAAATTAGTAATGGTTAAGGCTGTGTGAAATCAAGAGATCGATTCTCATTCTAAACCGTCTTAACTTTATTTGCTTCCTAACAATATATTTCCCATTTCATGAATTAGCAGCCTCGTTGGCTGGTACATTTCGTATAAACCTTTAAGCAGAACACAGAAATCACAGCAATTGATATGTAGGTTAAAACACAAAAAATTGTGGGAAGTTGGGATGAATATTTTCATTACAACAGATATGAAACCAATGAGAGACTGAATTAAGGAGTAAATTCAAGCCTGGGTTCAAAGCAAAAACCATTAAAGAGCTGAAGCGGAAACCTCTTTGTAACAGGGTATTTCTGAGACCACCTCCATTGCTTCTGTTTAACGTCAAAAACAAGAAGAGCCGGAGCTCCATAGCTCTGGATGTATATAAGGTCATCGGCACCGCTGCTAGCAAAAACTTCATCAAATTCTCCAAATCCTTGGAAATACTTATGAGGCATACGAGCAATTTCTTGCCACTCCTTTCCATTGAGAACCCAAATGCCAATCCCCTTAATTATGTCAGGCCAATCTGGTTTACCAATCCCCCCAACCATCACCAACTTCTCCTTGAGGCTCATCAAACGGCCACAAGTAAGAGAACAAGGCACTCGGATAAAACTCCTCTTCAACAAACCATGGGACAATCGGCTAGAGAGGTTATAGGCCACTAGGCCATGACGATTATCAGGCATGCCACCCCCAGTAGAGTAAATTAAGAAGTACAAAACCCCATCACAGATCACACTCTCCTCACCACCTCTCCACCCTGTCAAAACCTCTGTTAAAGGGGTTGCCCACATCATTGTTTCAGAGTCATAAACATGAATTGAGAGATCCCACTGAAAGAAGTTTCCAGGCACTTGCTTAGATTTCACAATTGACACATTGTAATTGCGAGATATCTGGCTTACCGAGATTGCCAGTGCACTGAAATCAGAAGATTTCAGGCCTGGAGGCTCCACAAGCCGCTTGCAACCTTTGGTAATTGGGTTACAGACATATAGCTCTCTTTGACTATCGTTGTCCATGAAACAAACAAGGCCATATGATGAAGCAGTAAGCCAATTTGGTGTCTGAAAGCAGGGAAATTCAATGCCATACCATTTTCGAAGGATAGGATCATAGGCATAACCAGTTGGTTCATCGGAGCTTGTAAACATAAAATACCAAGGCTTTTGTGTCAGGAGAAGTGACAAGTTCCACAAGAATCTTTCTGAACTTACTATATCATGCCACCTTTTACACACACATCCTGCCCTAAAAATGCTTGCAATGGGGAGATAAGCTAGAATTCGTTCTAACAAGTCATCAGGCAAGATCAAATCCATGGATACTGCTGGAACTTCTTTATTACCTTCATCACTAAGTTCTGAAAATGAATTATACTCACCAACATTCTTTGTACTGTCATCAAGGCAATGACTGACCCATGATGTTTCCCCTTCCATCACAGAGAAGAGCTAGGACAGCCTGGATCTACATGAAAATCAAACCAGATTACATATGCAAGACAATTCACAGTTAAATTAGAAGTCCACTATGAGAAAGGACCACCTGCAATTTTTCTGAATCACTAACATAAATATCACACCCAGAGACCAAATGATCTCACTTGATTCACCTGGAAAGTATGAAAACTTATAAAAAAAAAAAAAAAAAGCCTGGATCTACATGAAAATCAAACCAGATTACATATGCAAGACAATTCACAGTTAAATTAGAAGTCCACTATGAGAAAGGACCACCTGCAATTATTCTGAATCACTAACATAAATATCACACCCAGAGCCCAAATGATCTCACTTGATTCACCTGGAAAGTATGAAAACTTTTTTTAAAAAAAAAATGGATGAGCCGTGTGATGAATATCAATAACAAGAAGGGGGAGGGGGAAGAGCATAAAAGTCATGAAGGGTCATATATCACTGACTCCTTTTATTCGTTATATGGCTATCATATTATTAGAACCACATAATATTGATAAATTTATCAAAATACCTAAACCAATCTCTTGGTGCCTTCTCCCCAATTAACCAAACAAAACCAAACGAAGCCAAGTCTAGCCTTATGTCCCAATCATTTGGGGCCGGCTATGATTCTGCCTTCTACCCAACTGAAACATCAAAAGTTTTTACCTCAAAAAATCAATGAAATATACAGCTTGAACAAAAACAGCAATCATTCCGCTAGATTAAAACAACAGAACTTCATTGTGATCCTGAAATTAAAGAAGCAAATTGGCCCTCCACATATGCAAACAAAAGATTTAAGAGAAAAAGAGATTCTAATTAAACATAAGATAAGATTATCTGTATATCCATAGGAAATAACATCCAGATTAAGAACACTAAGCAACCAGATACCCGAGGAGTAGTTTATGAGTATTCAAAAGCTTATAAGTAGGTATAGATCACATTCGCTTACCTTAGAAACAAAAAAGAAAAATGCACCACCCGTTTTTTTAATTCCAACAATAGGATAAAAAGCATTCGAAGAGGATAACACAGAGATGTTGATAATAGAAAAACACTTCTCACCAGATTTGTACCACAATGATATTGTGTTAACCAGAAAACAACACATTTTCTTTCTCAAAGAACAGAGCCGTTTTCATAGTTTTGGAAATCAAACCCTAAAATGTTTTCTGTGGGGTGAAAAAATAAAATATTGGGAGGAGAAAAATTAGAGCATATAATGCTATCAATCAAACATAAAAAACGCACCAACAGACCAAAAACATCAACAATAACAACTTAAAGAACAAAACACAACTAGATCAATAAAACACCCACAAATTTATTTTCAAAAACGACAAAAACGCTTCATGAAATGAAAAAAAAAAACATGAGTGTACCTATATGGGTAGAAAGTTTTGTGTTTGCCAAGGCAAAAGCCTCCTCTTGTTAAACTGGCCAAAATGGGTCTGGCTGAATTGGTCACCACCCTCTAGATTTACCAGAAAAAAATGGTGAGAAGAGACACAACTAAAGTTAATAGCTTTCTCTTTGGAGAGTTAACATTCGTTCACCAATAAATAGATACAAAATGGGTCTCTAAGCATCTTAGCTACGGAAAAAGTGAAGGACACGAGATGGGTCGGTGTCGATGTAGCAGATAAATGTGTAAGTTGAACCAAAGAGAGAGAGCTGTTTCTTTACTCTCGCCCTTTTTGAGATAACATGAAGTGGAATGGAGTATGAAGCCGGTTTTTCAACTAGCCTGTGTGGCTGTGTATACAGTGAGAGAGAGAGAGAGGGGAGTGGGTGTTTTATCGAGGAATTGATGGGTTTTAATGAAGAGAAAAACATTGGGATTTCGGCCACAATCAAAAGAGAAACACTGTAATGCTGTCTTACTCACCACACCTTTCATATTTCTCCTACACTTTTTCCTTTCCTCTAATTTTTATTTTATTTACTTTATATATTTTTTTAAAATCACGTTACCGACTGGAGAGAGCATCGGTGAGATTCGAATTTTGCATTGGCAAAGTAAAAACAAGACTTACCACTGGTCCAGTGCTCTTTTGCTTGCTTTATTTTCAATTGAATCTCTTTCTTTCACTATTTCCTTCGTAAGTTCATAGTCATTTTAGCTTTGTCAACTTCTTTTGGTACATACTTCTTTCTTGTTTTGAGGGTTAAAGTTGTTGATACTAATTTACGTATATTTTAATTTATTTTTTCTTGATTTGGTTAAAAATGGATAATTTACGTCAAAATTAAGATAATCATGAGAGATAAATTCTTCATAATCTGACCTCAAATAATTGTTAAATTTCAAATTCAAGACGTTTGAATTTATAAGTTATCTCTGTTATAATCTCTTAAAGTTCTTTTGATATATACTTCACCAACTCAAATCATGCCACTTCCACATCAGATGTGAGCAATCTTCTTTTCTTCTCTCATTTGCTCTTAGACACTGGAAGGCAATTCTGGGGTCCATTTCTTGTTGGCCAACTTAGTCTAGGGTCCCTTTGTTATTGGTAAAAGGCATGTCCAATAGCCCTTCTTTACCTAACCAATGTCCCATGTGTTATTATTCTAGTGGCCAAAATGAAAATATGGGGGTGGGTTCAAACTAGATGCACCCCATCATGTTTTTAGTTCACGCAAGTTGTCTAAATGATAAAACATAAATAGTCAACTATCTCACCACATTTAATCGAACTTATTTTAGAATTGAAAACGATGTTATCCAAACTTCTTTAATTTCACTGTATCAGAACTATATTCTTAGATTCAAACAAGATAAATCATACTTGTAGTGTAAAATTTCTCTCAAATTTAGTGAGCTTGTCTTGGCAAAGTAAAACTTTATAGTTAATCATGGTATAGCCCAGACACTGTACTCGTAGCATGGAGCTGGACAATGCAAGTGTAACCTAGTCTATGCAAACATAAAAACCTATTGGAAAGGTAGCAGTGCATTGATTACCCTTAATTATTCTATGTATAGGAATGGTTGTAATGTGAAATTGTGCACCGGGTCTACGCAACTCAGTACTAGAAAATAGCAGTGTGTCTGTCCACAAGCAGAGAAACAAGTGCTGGTTTTCGGGCTTCTTTATCTTCTGATAGTGTATAATAGTCCTTTGGAAAGCAGGCAAACCGGTACCTCCCTGGATACAAGTTAATGGACTTGAATACCTGAAAAGATTTTCTATCATTTTTTCACCAACAAGCACATGTATAGCAATGCAGCTATTGGAGTTTATAGAGTCAAGAGATGCATGCATTAGTACAATGACAATCTGTGCAAATACATGTGCCACCATGGTCTAGGTTGCCTAGACTGCAAAAGATTGTATAGAAGAAATACAGGGTTATATTGCTGACGACAACATGTTTGTGGATTGTAATTCAAAAATCAGATATGTACGTCGAATAAATATTTGAAATATAAGTTGATTACTGGCCATTATTGTTGAAAATCTGAATATTATAGAGTGACATTGATCCTCCAGTATATTTTTTTTTTATTTTCTTTATTAGTAGACCGCCTACTGTGAAATCAAGTGACTCATTATATATTACTGGGTCTTTCACTCATTCATGATAAATAATCTATTAAAAAAGAATACCCAAAAAAAAAAGTATCGGAGAGAATCCAAATCCAAGGTTTATGTGTACGTAGATTAGTAGACAGCCCCAAGCGTTGCTAAGAGCCAAAGTTGCTCTTTCAGTTAGAGGTGTTAATCTAACCGAGTTTTGTGAGTTTGAGCATAAGTCTGGCGAGTTTATTTTTTTAAATGAGTCTAACAAACTGTTCAAGCTCAATTTGTTTAAAACACAAGTCGAGTTCAAGTCAAGTTTTATCTTAGACGAACCCGAGCCTTACTCAAGTAGTCCATCTTGATTAACATCTCCTCCTTTTAGTCAACATAATATAACACACAACCAACATTCAAAAGGTGAAGGAACCAATTAGGTATAAAATAAATGACACATTTTAAGATGCACATGTTGGAAAATTAATCTCTTTGAAAGAGAAGCAAAATTGTATACCACTTACCTGGACCCGACCCAATTTTATAGTATTAATGTCCCATACACCGCACACGACTACAACTTTGATACTACAGCTAGTTATGGGGGGGTGATGTCACTAAAAGAAGAGGGATTCATTTTACAATCAACTCGTGGCTATGCAACAAATGACTTAAAAAAGGACAGAAGCAGGCCAAATGCGGGCATGGCCGATTGAAAAAGATTGTTCCCACAACATGATGTAATGAGAGCTTATTTTATTACATTACAACAGTTTTGCAGGCGATATATATATGTTAATGCATTTTTATAAATGTTGATACATTTATTTAATGAATGATACAAACATATATATGTGGACACAGGAAACCTATAGTTATGATGTCAGCATGACATTTTTGACAAGAAAGAACTAGTTCAGTCAAATTATCAGAGCGATCACGACAATCATATTTTGACACCCCTAGACCTTGAGTGAGCCAATGGATGACAATCAATAGTCAAGCAAGTTAATTGGGCTCCCTACAAGGTCAACAATGTCAAAGAGAGAAAGCCGAACAAATATTTTTCTCTTGGGATAAAAATGAATACACAAAGACATGTTTGAGAGCTTGATAAGACAACCAAAACATCCAATAAAAAAAAAAAGGTGGTAGGCCGAAGAACCATTCAATGCTTCAACTTGGCTACTCTAGAAGGCAAAGATTGGGCGAAAGACTACGCCAACTTACTACCAAGCCATGGTTAAATGTGATCAACGGATCCAACAAAAACCGACCTAGTGGGTGCAAAGAGGAAACCTTAATTTGTTCAAATGGTGAGAGAATTTTGAGGTTGAATAATTCTTACCCAGTTTAAGAACATCCGAATTGGGCGCGCTTAAATAGAAAGACAAAAATAATATTGTATGTGATTGTTTGACAAACATTCACATGAGCATAAATGCGCAACACAAATTTCTGATGAGTGTTATTAATTATAACTCACGAGAATCAAAAGAAAAATAAATATTTTTTGAATGATTGAACTTTAAGACCTTGACATATATAGTAACCTAACCTTTGATGTAGAAACTTGAGAAATGTTTCGATAGTTTTATGTATATCGTGTTCGTTAATGAATTCGAGTATGGTGGCAGCTAAGATGGTGATTCAAACATTGTTTCTCCATGCAAATGGGGCATTGACTTTTAAGTTTTAACACAATGGAATCACTTTAACTTTAGTAAGAGAACTGGAAAAAGAGCTGGTAGTGGTAACCCCACTATGACACTACTTTCCAGCCAAACCATCTTGCTCATTTAGTCATGACTCATGTCTCACTTCTAATAGTTTCTTGCAACTTTCTAAAAAATTTATATTGCTTTGTCTTTGTTATGCTTCTTATGCCTCACAGAAAACCCACCAAATATATTTCAAACATGAAGTCATGGAGAGAGAGAGAAAGAGAAAGAGAAAGAGAGGTGTCTAGCCAACATTGGAAGAAAAATCCCTAGTCATGATATAATAGGGGGATAAACTACAATGGTTGGTTATGGGAAAGAAAAATAATCCAATCTTTGTCTAATTTATTACTCCGTTGACGTTGTAATTGGATTAACCAACAAAGTTAGGTAATAGCATGAGATTAGTCATAGGACAAACAGGAAATCTAGAAATCTTGAGTATGACTTTTGTTATTATTTTTGGGTTTAACTATCGTTATTGTTTCTGGGTTTAAATAAAGTCTGTGATTAACAAAAAATTACATGTATATTCTATAAGGGTAGGCCCAATGTGGGTTCACCTTAGAGAAGGTACCATCATAAAGAAAAAGATGTAATTGGATTACCGGTATTGCTCAGTCAATGTTAGATTTCATTACTACTCTAATGAGGATAATAACTAGATCACCAAATTAGGTTCATGGATAAAAAATGACAAGAAAAATGTCAGTTTACTTGTACTGTTGTGGAGAACTGTTTGTGTGTGTGTGTGTGTGTTTTTGAGGTGGTTTGAAAGTAAGTCCTGTGCATAATATGTGTGAGTGTTTTAGGTGCATGTCATGGCATTTTTGGACATTAAATACCAAAAATGTTGCAGGGCATTGGTGGGTTTGCACTTTGTGTGGGGGCTTGTAGATTCACAACATCCATGATATTTATAATTTACTTTTTCTTTATTTAAAACAGTATTGGGATCTTTCACAGGCTCCACATAGGGAAGTCATTGATTTCTGATGTGAATGTGTTTGGTTAGATCTCATTGGAGGATTAGGACAGCAGGAGAGAGAGAGAAGCTAAGGATTTTTATACCATATGAATATTTTAGTCTTGCCTGCCGTAGATGACTTGTCTTTAATCGGACTGAGAATGAGATTAGTCTGTAAACTGACACAAA